CTGGAAGCACTGGAAGACAGCCGTTTCGTTTTGGTATGGGACTCATCAGCACTGCGCATCCACGACTCTTGCAACTCGCAGGATTCGAACCCGGCACCTTCGGTATTGTGCGCGAACGCCTAACCATTGGACCACCGGGCCGGTATCCAATATTACCATTTTTGTAAAACACGTTGTAATTAGTGAGATAAACACACAGTGACTGAGTGATGAGTATGTCAAATGAATGCAGTTAGTTGGTAGGAATCGAAGGATAAGGAAACTAAAATGTTGTCAGTGTAATCTTCAAACACATGCTCCTCTCAGTATCACAATCGTAGACATTGTTTTCTAGTAAACACCTTTTATCTTTCTCTTCTCAAATTTATTTCACTGGATTATACTCCTCGAACCCTAATCTTTCGGATTATTCCTTATACTTCTACTACTTCTACCGCTATGGGATTTGAATCAACAGTTGTATCTCTGTGCTAATGTGGTATGGCAACTTGAACTCATGTACGTACGTACGAAGTTCTTGGTTGTTGCGAACTGGCTGAAGTTCTAGCTCTTGATTATATCTGCTATCTAAACAAAAGTTTTTGGCCAATGAATAATATGACTTCGACCGAGTAATCTTGTGGTGGTGGTGTTTGGTTCTCTGAGCTGGGTGTTTTGGTTGTGGAGCTTTCATTGTTCTTCTGAACAACATCTACAGCACAAACTTCAGATAAGAGAAGTGAAGCATTCGAATTTCTACACGTTTGACCTGTAGCTTGTTCTGCTAACCTCGATCTTGATTGTTTGCTGTTGACCTTTAACCTGTTGTTGTTTACACCTTTGTTTTGATTGCACCCCGATTTTGATCTGTTTCTTGATCCTGTATCACCTATAAGTTTTCTGATTGGTTGATAAATTGGGTCAATGTCGATGTATTTATTGACTGCTGATTGACCTGAGTGCTAAGCTTCTAAAAATTCTCTAGTGTTCTTTGTGCTCCCCCTACCCAGTATTTCCACATTGTTCCAATCGAATGTATCTCCATAGTTGTTGCTGTGTATTGAAATATGCGAAGCGTTGTCGTGGCGTTTGACTGCTTATTGGTGTTCACGTAAACGAAGCTGAAATTCCCTGAGTAATCTTTCGTGTGTGAAAATAGCAGTTTTCGATATTTTATTCTAATAAAAACCTATGGATAACATAACATAACACTTAACTTTACTGGGTTTTTTTCCAGAACAGATTAATTCAACAGTGGTTACGCTTTTGAATAATACAAGCCATACTTTATAGTCTCCCCTACTCACGGTGACTTTGCTCTCATTCATGTAAGTTATTTCCTATTTTATCGTGTGATAAGGTTAGGTCAAGCACGTCTTTTATTTAAGCAATGTATACCTGAAATATATTATCCATCTAATGGAGGCTGATTACTGTGTTGTTCTTGTCTCAACAGACACAGTATAGAGTAGGAAGAAAAGCTACCAGAGCAAAGAGCCAATAAGAACTTAGCCGTAACTCAAGGTTACTACTACTGCTGATCACTACGGAGACAAGGTCATATGAATCTGTTTCCTGATTGGTAGTTTTATTGTGTGATAATAATAAGCGATTAATAAGTGCATAACATTGACAAGAATAAGTTTGACCAATAAGCTATTTTGAGATTTACATGAATTACCAATAAAATATAGTGTGGTGCGAGCTACTTATAAGTAGTATATAACGTGAGTGTCAACCTTATGTCTGGCAGCATAATATGGGGGGAAGATCAAGAAAGGAGGAGTTAGAAAACAATGGAATTTGTATGAAACGCATGAATAGTAGTGACAATGGATTGATGTTTTGCAACAGGAACAGTCCAGTTCCATAGGATGAACTGATCTTTTGCAAATGAACGATTTACGATATGGTTTTCCGATTTTACTGAGTAACTCTGTAATTTTCGTTAAATACAATTCGGTTGCCCCACCTGTGTTCTCGTTCACTACAATAGTACTGATTATTTTTAAAAAGTAAATCTGTTCACAAAAAAAACTAACGAATAATAAGATAGAAAGTATCACATCAGTATCGAGACATGCTTATAATCAATCGATTGACTTACATTAAACCGACTAAACCAATTTGTATCGGAGCTCCAAGCCAAGGATAACGAAGAAGTAATGGACGCTTTTCCAATGATTGCATTACAAAAGGTAAAAACGCTAATGAAAGGTAAAGTAGAAAGCAAGAAAAAAAATGTAAAAGAAAAAACGTCAGTTTTCTTGGGTATTTATCATTCATCGATTAACGTCAATAGTTTAGGAATTTACAAGAAAAAAAAACTCATACCTAAAGTCACCGATTGTCCCAATTTATGAGAAAGGACAAAAGTCTTCTTGTGACAATCATAGGGGAATAAGTCTAACTAATATAGTCTCTAAATTGTTAGCGTCAGTTTTCCTTAGACGCCTAACTAGAGCTCGTGAAGAGCAGACTCGAGAAAACCAGACTGGTTTCAGACCCGGACGTGGCTGTATAGACCACATTTTCACACTACAACAGGTCCTGGGACGCAGACACACATTTAGGCGTCCTACAATAGTTGTCTTCCTGGACCTTAAGGCGGTATTTGAGTGTGCGGATCGTGAGGTTCTGAGGCAGTGTCTGTCATTGAGAGGTGTACCAAAGAAGTACATTAACCTTATACAAGCTCTCTACTCGAACATCACTGGTCGAGTGACAGCTTATGGCGAACTGTCGTCGGGATTCTCTACTTTAACTGGTGTCCGTCAGGGATGTCCACTCTCCCCATCCTTGTTCAATTTTGTCATAGACATCTCACCAGTGCTGATGGCCTGGTGACTGGCGAGTGTACTGCGCGGTAGTTCGCACCGCCCTAGTTTATGGCTGTGAAACATGGCCAGTAAGGAGTAGAAGATATTCGTAGGTTACAGATTTTCGATCATAGGTGTCTCCAAAGCATTGCTCGAGTATCGTAGGACAACCGAGTGAGCAATGCTGTTGTTAAGAAACGGGTGCTAGTGAGGATGGTAGATCAATAGATGAAGTGTTGAAACTTCGTCAGTTGAGGTGGTTGGGACATGTATTGAGTATGCCTAACCACCGACTTCCTCATCCAGCTATATTTTGCGGTGTAGGAATAGGTTGGACGAAAACAAGGGGCGGTCAGACCAAAATATGGCACAAATCCATAAAGTCACTGACAAATGGATTGAGTCGTGTTGATAGATGTAGACTACCTGGTTGAGGTGCGCAAGGCGAAAGTCACCGATGGTTAGAGACCTTGAATTACTTGGCTCAAAACCGTTCGCAATGGCACAGGTGCATTCATTCATTGTGTTCTTTCAAATTCTAACCTTCTGATTTCCTAACCACTTTTACCTTTCTCTTTTTATATTTGTTTCACTGGATCATATTTCTTGAATAATATCGTCGAACCCTAAAATTTCCGATTACTGATAACACATCTGCTACCTCTACTACTATGGGGATTTGAATTAAGGATTTGATCTCTCTGTGCTAATGTGGTATGGCAACTTGAACTGAAGTACGTACATACGTACGAAGTTCTATGTTACTAATGTTGTTGACTGACTAACTGACTAATTACATTCTTCATCATATACAGAGCAAAACACATTCTAATTGGTTAACTTACTCATTCCTGGAGATGCCATTAATATTCGTGAAAAAACCACTTGACTAATAGCTCTACGTCCAACAACAGTTGATTGACCCAATTTTTCACCATTTTCATCTAATATAGGTGTACCTTCAGTGAGTTCTGCACTTCGCATACATGGTATATTAATACAATTTGCTGCAGAGACAGCAATAAATGGTACTAATCGAGCAATTATAGGAGGGAATTTCTAAAAATTTAACAAGAAAGAATCATATGAATAAAGGAAGATTTTTATAAAAATGTGGAAGGAATGAATCGATAACTTACTATAACAAATAGTACTGTGGTGTGAGCTACTTATAAGTAGTATATAACGTGAGTGTCAACGTAATGTATGGCAGCATGAGATGGGGGGGAAGATCAAGAAAAGAAAAGAGTTAGAACACAATCGAATTTGTATGAAACGCATGAATAGTAGTGACAATGGATTGATGTTTTGCAACAGGAACAGTCCAGTTCGATATGATGAACTGATATTTTGCAAATTAACGATTTAGGATATGGTTTTCCGATTTTACTGAGTAACTCTGTAATCTTCATTAAATCAGTTCAGTTGCCCTCACCTGTGTTCTCCTTCACTACGGTACATTGTAGGAGGATAGAATCTAGTCGATACATATTCATTTATTCATCTGCCTACAAACTAGTTAGTTGAAGGCAAGAAGGTAAGAACAGATAAGAAAGCTTATCTGGCTACCGATAAACATATACACACAGCAGTTATCTCATTTAACATGCATACATCCCCCTTTCCCCTTTGGGGAAAAATGGATTCATTTCATTGATCAATCAATGAGATATCCATTCAGTATCGAATAGACTTCTTATTGTTTGCTCACTTCTGATTGGCTGATTAGATTAATTCATAAGTACAACAAACTATATATACATTCAATGTTCACTGATAAATAAGTGCAATTACTAGTTTAAAAAAATGATTTAAAAAAAGTCAACAAAATAAAGAGATAATTTACTTGAACTTGTCTATTAATAGTTAATGCAGTGCCTAATGCTCCACCAGTAGCTAAAATATATGAAATACCAAGTTGTCTGTTAGAAAATAGAAAAAAATACAAAAACACATAAAAAACATTGAACAATTTGAAAGTTTTTTTTTAAAATGTTGTCAAGATATTAAAAATAACTGTATATATTCAAATGACTCATGATTATAAAAAACTGCGCCTGTATAGAACCTTTGGGGCTACTACCGGTCCCAAGTCCGGATAAAAAGGAGGGTTGGGCATGGGGTTTGGCGACCCCATTCCGTCAAAAACTGACTTGCCAAGAAAACGCTAACCCGAAAAAAATTAATCAAACTATTTTAACTCTGCCCTGGGAATTGGAAGAAGAATTATGACGTCGCGTGATGAAAGCCGAGTTCCCTCGGAAGTCATGGGGTTGATGCCTCTTCTGACAATCAGAGCGACCATTCTTTTAGGTACATGGAACGTTCGAACATTGTGGGAAACTGGAAGACTATTTCAAGTTGCTGAAGAAATGAAAAGATACAACCTCGAGGTGTTCGGCATCTGTGAAACGCATTGGACACAGGTAGGATAACTGAGACTAGCTTCAGGGGAACTGCTGTTATACTCTGGTCATGAAGAGGAAAATGCTTCACATCTACAAGGAGTTGAACTGATGCTGTCAAAACAAGCACAAAAGGCATTGGTAGGATGGGAATTTTATGGACCCAGGATCATTAAAGTATCCTTCAAAACAAAGAAGACATACCAAAGTAAGTCATCCAATGTTATGCACCTACCAATGACTACAATGACGACGACAAAGATCAATTCTACGAAAGGCTGTAGTCAATTGTCGACAGGTGCTCACCAAATGATTCGACGATTCTAATGGGAGACATAAATGCCAAGGTTGACATGGACAACGATGGATATGAATACATCATGGGACGACATGGACTAGGAGAGGAACGAAAATGGTGAGAAATTTGCAAACCTATGTGCCTTCAACAAACATATCATCGGCGGAACAGTATTCCCACACAGGCGCATACACAAAGCTCTACTGAACCCACCCAACATCGAAGCAGCATCTACGGACCTCCCAATCGATGTTGGCGCACCTACAATTGAAGAGATCAGTATGGCCATCCGACAAATCAAGAGTGGCAAATCAGCAGGAAATGACAACATCCTAGCAGAGGCGGTGAAAGCAGACGTGAAAGCAACTAAGAAAATATTTCACATTCTCTTCAAGAAGAGGAACAAGTACCATTAGACTGGGAAGAAGGATACCTGATCAAAATACCAAAGAAAGGCGATCTCAGCAAGTGTGAGAACTGCAGAGGCAACACTCTTCTTCCAATACCAGGCAAAGTCTTCGACAGGGTATTGTTAAACAGAGTGAAGGACTTCGTAGACGCCCAACTTCGAGATCAACAGGCTGGATTTCGTAAGGATCGATCGTGTACCGACAAAATCGCTACATTACGGATCATTGTGGAACAATCAATTGAATGGAACTCACCACCATACATCAACTTCATCGACTACGAGAAAGCATTCGATAACGTGGACAGGAAAACACTGTGGAGGCTTCTTCTACACTACGGTGTGCCTGAGAAAATAGTTAACATCATACGAGATTCTTATGATGGATTCAACTGCAAAATCGTGCACGGAGGTCAGCTGATAAACTCGTTTGAGGTGAGGACCGGTGTTAGGCAAGGTTGCTCACTCTCACACTGACATGAGAAGAATGAACAAAAACTGGAAAGGGAAGCCCAGGACAGAGCTGGATGAAGAAAACTGGTGGGCGACCTATGCTCCATTGAGGGTTATGAAGATGATTTATAACTCGAGAAGAATGATTTTGATTGACTTGTTATTCTTTGAGGCGAATGATGAATGAATGGTGATCTTGTTCATTTGGTCCATTGATTTCTTTGATGGCAAATGTATTCTTCCAGTGTCAGAATTTATTCTATATTCTTTTTTTAGTTGTTGTCCGAATGATAACCCAGTATAGAAAGTAAGGACTAATTCACTGGTGTCATTTATGAATGGTTATTGACTGATCTTTGCGTTGTGTTGTGTTATTATGTAAGCTAGATGGTTTGTTCATGGAACTTTTATTATTCTTCTGAATAGTAAGTATCATCAGCATTAGCTTAAAGTAAAAGTCGGCTATTCAAATTTTCCGATAGATGGTTGTTAGCTGATCCTTATCAATCTTAATCTTGATTAGTTATTACTGAGCTTTGAAACTTGTTATCGTTTGGATGTTCGTTTTGATTGGTTTTATACAACACACATTTATATTCTATAAACAAACACTGTTGTTCACAATTTGTCCAATAAATTTTAATAGTTATAACATGATAATTTATGGCGATTTTTTTTAACTAGCCAATGAAAATGAAGAAATCAAATTCAAGATTTATTTATATGCATAGTCAAGTGTCAGTTTAATTGTTCAGCGTACATGATATTAACTAATTTTTCCGTCCATTTAGTCAGTGAGTAATGCATCATATTAGAGTATAATTATTCTTGAGAATTTCATTTCAAGCTTTAACTTCTTCATACGCTGATTGCTTGCTTCATTATGTAAGTTAGAATGAGCTATAGTGAAGTAATTATAGAGTACATATGTAGATGGCTTCAGATGATTAGATTGAAATGATGAATCAATCATTGTTAGACCACCATTAGAAGCCTGGAAGCACCAGACGGCCGTTTCGTCCTCGTATAGGACTCATCAGAAGAAGGCAGTGGGTGATGTTGCGCAATAACTCGGATGGATCAAAGTTAAAACTTAACACCGTTGGATACTAGTTCAGTGATCTAGTGATTAAGCGTTCATGCTCGAGAATGAGGGTACTGAGTTGATTTTTGCGAGCCGGGGTCATGGATGCGTACTTCTGAACAGTACCATATTAGGACGAAACGACCATCCAGTGATTCCATATTTCTAGTGGTGGTCTAACCGTGATCGAGTCATAATTTCAATATAACTCAATAATATCCATAACCCTATAATATAAAATATCACCGGTAAAAAAAATTTATGCTCTAACATTCAGCATTCATGCAATAAATATCGCACTTTTATTGAACATAGAACAAAAAGAAGGATAATTTTATATTAAAGTGTAAGCAGTAAACAATATTACATTTTATAATCGGTTCTCACGATAGTCAAAAACTGCTTATGTTTAAAATCCTACACATACATCTCTTACTAATAGTCAGTCAGTCAGTTGCAACGTAGAACTACGTACGTATGTACATAAGTTCATGTTGCCATACCACATTAGCACAGAGACGCAGATGTCAAATCATATCCCATAGTGATAAAGATAGTAGAGGTATTAATGGTAATGAAGAAGACTAGGGTGGTTTGAAGATATTATTCAAGAAGTAGAATTCAGTGAGTGAGATAAGGTTAGAAAGACAAAGGTAGAGGTGCTGACGATTCCAGAAGATTAGGATTTGAGAGAGCTCAAAGAATGGATGCACTTGAGCCATTGCAAACGATTTTGAGCCATGTCGTTCAAGGTCTCTCATACTAATAGACAGCATTATATAGTGAAAAAAATATTTACAAAATCACTTCAGTTGTACATTCACCAAAACATATATTGAAAATCAATAAAACGCAAGGATTTTTTTTTACAAGATGTCGATAATAAATGTGTTCAAATTTTATGCAATTCAAAATGGTTCAGATTATCTATCTGGTTGTTGATATTTTGACTGAAATTCGAGAGCGATCTTTGTTGGCATATGAGATGAGCATCTTATGCGGATTGCCTCGATATAACAAATTCGACAAGGCAAAAATGGTAGAGTCAAATGCTACAGATTACATCTAATTACCCGATGTATCAAAACAATGTACATGGTGTCAAGTCATTCAAACTAGCAGCTACACCATAAATTGATCGATCGATTTCCTTACTTACTTACATCCTTACGGCTCCCCCCAATGGAGCGTAGGCCGTCGACCAGTGTTCTCCAACCTACTCGGTGTTGGGCTTCTCTTTCCATTTGTGTCCAATTTCGTTTATTCTTCTCATATCTTTCTCTATTTCTCGGCGTAATGTGTTTCTTGGCCTTCCTGCTTTCCTTTTACCCTGAGGGTTTCAAGTGACGGCTTGTTTTGTGATGCAGTTGGGTGCTATCCACAATGTGTAACCTATCCACTTCCACCGCT